CACATCGCTTGTGTATGTATATAAATACACCTTTGCATTGAGAACAGATAAAGTTATAGATGGGGTGAGTCATGTGAAGAGGGGAGAGAGAGAGGAGTATAAAAATTAGGTTAGGTTTATATATATATATATATATATGGAGAGTCTCCTTTGCTTTTGCTCCCTGTGCTTTCTCTTTCTATAGCTTACGTTTTGTCTCCATTTTCCCCCCTCTCTCTGGTTTGGGATGAGAACAAGGGTTTTTGCCAGTGCAGAGAAGAAAAATGGGTTCAGATCGAAAGTTATGGTTAGATTTGTTAAGTCACAAACATATTCTTCTTTGATCTTTCATATCTTTCTCAGATAAGTGAATTAATGGGAGATTGGGGTTGATGGGAATGTTGTTTGGCTCGAGGTAATTGCATGGGGTCTTAATTTCTTTATCTTTGACGCTTAATTGATTTCTGGGTTTCATTCTTTTTTTGACGGTCCCTTGAAACAATGAAAGCTTTCAAAGTTTAGATTTTGATCCTACCCCTTTATGTGATCTCGGACCAGGCTTCATTCCCGTCAACCGGATCTCTCTCTCTTTGGAGATGATCATCGATCTCACATGGTTTTGTGATTATGGCTTCTGGTAAGGTGATGCCAAAACTCTGACAGTGTCAAAGGATGGAGAACTCTATGGTCTGTGGGTGTGAATTTAGACATTGAATGAGATAAAGTTGAAACATTTGTCAAAAGTTCTAGTGAGCAAGATTAATAAAAAGATGCCTTTGACCTTGTAGTTGCTGCACAATTACAACTGTTTTTCTTTGTCATCTTTCATGTGGCTGCATATTCATCTCTCTCTAATGATTTAGTTTAACTGTTGAGATTTATGCGAGTATTATATATCTAAAATGATCTGGCTCCAAAATCTAAATTCATAATTATTATTTCTCTTGGATTATCATTAGGTGAGTGATTGATGTAAGCTTTTTCTAAGTTAAATAATGATGTGCCTTGAGAAACTGAAGGGGCTTTGAAATTCTGTATTTTGTCAGTGTAGGTTTCCCAGCTGTAGCATCTTTAGGGTTTGAGATTCCTAACCATCTTTTCTTGCTGTCAAGTTTCAGTCTTTGTAAGTACTTTGGCTTCATTCTTTTCAGGTAACATACTAACATTCACAAATACTTTTCTCTCTCTCTCTACACTTCTTCGTATACCTTTATTCATGATTGTTTGAAGTATTATTTTTTTAAATCTATTTTAGGTAGCGACAGTTACAATTTTCATGGGCGATTTCTGGATTCATTTTGCTGATTTTGTTTTCATTTTAACAACGCAGGTGAAAAGAGAATTAAAGAATTGAAAGATGCGTGGAAATCAAGATAAATGGATTTAAAACAAAATGGGCGGCACATATACACATTTTTTTTTCGTTGTTGGTTATTGTTGAGCTCAAATGCGGAATAACTTGGACGTGTAAATTAAAATTCTGACGTAAACTGGCGAGCAATAATTCAGACCTAATAAATAGATCTAGCAGCGCAGCGGTGTAACTTGTAAAGTGTGCACTGAAATACTTCCCAGGAAAGAGAGATGGATCACAACGGATCACTTAAATACCAGGTCTTTCCTTAGCCAGAATCTTTCCAGTTACAACACTAATACAAATACACACTTCTCCAGCAATCCAACAATCAGCCACGGAAGGATAACAAAAATAATTCTTTTCTGATGTGGAAGATCAGACTAAACTGCAACCACAGAGCATACTAAGAATTATTTTTAACTGAATAAAATAAGCAGATAAAGAACACCACTATTTAACGTGGAAAAACCTCCAATGTGGAGGAAAAACCACGGGACAAACTCCGAAAAATATTCCACTATATCTCAGGATATTTACAATATCCTTTCAACACTCTATCACACAAGAGGTGTAAAATATAGTGTACACAGTGAGACCCACTCCTATTCAAATATTACAAATTTTGTAATACCAAGAAGAAATAGAGATGATACCCACCCCAGTGTATTTTTCTCACACTCTTAGGATTTACTCAACACTCTATTTTTTTTTTTTCTCTCACAAACACTCACAATGCTTGATGAAATCTTGTGTGTGTTGCTGCTTGTGCTTCCTTCAATTTCATTTCACGGCTATTTATAGCCAAATAAAGTTACTATTCATTTAATAAAATATTATTAATTGTTTATGAAGTCAAAAAAGGGGGCACCGAAATTGAAAATGTGCTGGACCTCACAGTTATCCCCTAATTTTTCTTGCTTTCTTTCAATCAAAGGAGGAAGAAGGGAGGGGCTGGTGGTGGTGGTTGGTTTTGAACATTTCTGATTAATTCCTACTTCCTAAAATTGTTGCAGTATTCTATCTATTTTGCTTGGTACTCTCTTTTTTCCTTTAGCTGTCTCAGATATTGATTTTGACCAAGCGTATCTTTCATCCTGAAAACCAGTCAAAATTTATAAAATTATTTGCATCGATGTGGTTGACCAATCCTTTCTTGGCTTGCAAAAGGAAATATAATTTCTCGATCTATTTCAATTTTAAGTATATATGTCTCATCACAAAACCCAAAAATAATATATTTAAAATTAAATTTATCCTATCATTAAGCATAATTCAAATTATCATATATATCATGATTATCTGATGCTGCACATAGAGTTATTTCATTCAAGTCCATGACCATGCGCGGTGACCTACATCACAAGGATAATGTTACCTTGCGGAATAGAACCTTTTTATTCCTCTTTGGATGGAGGCTCAGAAGGCAGGACCTTTTAGGTGGAAAAAGTTATGGAAAAGAAAAGAAAGTTGAACATCAATTTACTTGCTTTTTTATCTTAGGTGATGAAACCTTTGATTCTTTGGAATTGAATGCATGTATTTGCATTAATACCAGCATGGTCTACCAACTTTTTCAATGTACATTGAACACAAACAAAAGAAACGTATTATATATTTCACTTTTTAGTTTCACTTTATTGCTGAGGCATACCGCGTGATAATTGTGTAAGCATTGCGTAGTATGCATTTGATTTATGTTAAAAAAATTGTAAACATAAATCTAACACAAAAACTATAACTAGTAGAATTAAAGTAAATATGAATCGTGGTTATTTAAATGCAAAACCAACGATATTGTTGTCGGATCTGATTCATTTTTAAGGCCATTCTAATATAAAATTTTAAATATTTGGGTCTTTTTTTTTTTGCACAAGGAGGCAAGATATCAACTGTGGCTTTAGCTTTTCTTTTTCTTTTCCCATTTTACTTAAAAAAAGGTGAAGAATTATAGATAATTTTTCTGTTTAAGGAAACCACGTTCAAGTAAAAAAAGTTCTTGTTCATGGAATTTCGGACTGCTATCAAGTCATCCCCCAATCACCCAAATGTACTGTCTAATTTCCAGAAACTGGGTAATGCTACCTCGGAAAACAGTTCTAGTGTTAGGAGTTGTTTGTTAGAGTCTAATATATATATATATAAAATATAATATAACATAAACTAATTTAGCTTCATATATAGTAAGTCAATAACATATGATCGTTCAGTCAATTTTCCATTAACCCCGAGATTGCTCCTTGACTTGTCAATATTGCTGTTGTGCTAGCTATAAGAAAAACACAGCTAGAAAGAATTTTGGTTGCAAGTTTTCTTATTCAAACGATTTCATGATGTGGTTTCTTTCGGTGCCTTTTATAGATGTACTATAAAATCTGCATCAAGATGCGTTGAATAAGCATTCAATGCTTTGCATGATATTGCTAACTAATATTGAAGGGCACACTACATATTTAAATCTATTCCTTACGTTTTTATGTAAATTTGGAATAGTTTATGATTCTATAATTTTTTTTTCGAACTAATTTATTATCAAATCCATATGATAAATCTTGGTGCATCTTAGTATATTAAATAAAATAAATGAGACTACGCGTTTGTGATAAAAAAAAAAGTGCATTTCTATAACTTCCCCCCAAGATATCCATTCATTTAGTAACTGACACACTAATATCCTAATGTACAGTCATATGCAAAACAATCCTTATCAGTGTTATTTTCTTATTTATAAATATATAATTAAAAATTATTGGTTTTTATAATAATTACTGTTAAAGTAATGTTTATGAGAATTTTTAATTAATTATTAGCGTAAATTTTTTTAATATTAATAATAAATAAAAATTAAAATTTGTTGTTATGCATATAAATATCAAAATCAAACATAATTTTATACTTATGGTATCCAAATTAATTTATAATGAACTTACACCTCACCTTTCAATATTTTCAGTTTGTCACCAAAAATTCCTTATCATGAACTTTTTTAGAAGAAAACCCTCAATTTCGTATCTTTAATAATGAAGTGTTTGAATTTTCTTCCTTATGATTTTAAGTTAAATCACAATTAAGAACTATATTATACAAACTTCGGGAGCTAATTGAGAAGTTGTGTAGCATTGATCACACGTGATATAGATTATTTTTACTCATCTTTCTTGCTTTATACTATATACTAATTAAAATAATTAAAATCTTAAATATGGTTTAATCGACACTAGTAGGACTGATTGTCCCTTATCTCCATCCAGCCGCAACTAGTCTTTTACTTTTATTCATTGTTAGTTGACAAAGAATAGAAAATCACTGAAATCAAAATAATTTACATAGTACGATACAAGTGTGAAGTAATTTTCATCATAAAAAAATTTTCCTGATTTCCCGCATGCTCAACTATGCATGGACTAGTTGGATGTCCTAAATTTGACTTTTGTTGAATGAACTTTCGTTTCATCCAGAAAAGAAAGGAAAAGACAAAATTAATCATAGACTTAGATGTCTGAAACAAATTGTTAAATATGATGCCAACATGCCAAACATAAACAAGTAAAAAACCAACATATAAGTATATGAATACTTGTAGCCATTAAGTCACACTTCTTTCATGGAAAGACAATATCATAATTAACTTTAGTAAATTAACTAGTGTGAAACAAGTAAAATTGTAAAGAAACTATATAAAGTAAAATGAGAGGGATAAAAAAAAAACACTCTTCCTTTAAAATAACTAATTACAAAGAAGGATTAAAACCAGTAAATTTAAGGGAGAAAAATAAATTCATGGAGCTTCGGGGAAAACTTTTTCCTCTAAGAATTTGATGAAACGTTCAGCATACATCTTTGGTTCAACTACTGATATTGTCATGGGATCAAATTGCAGCGATTTGTAAGAATGCTCAATTTTCTTTTTCAGACTATAGTTCTGCAATATATCAATTATGCCCATGTAGAGGACAACATCGTATACTTCAAAAAGCTCTACTTCTGTTGCCTCCAACTTATCACCCTGAAGCTTGCGAGTAGCCTGAGCTGGCATGTTTACACCAAGCTGCACCCGCAACCTGAGTAAGAAAAAATGAAGATTTACTCTGTTACATGTATAATTAACCACAACCCATAAGATCTATAGCATTTATTACTGGTGCTAATTAGTAATAATTCTCTTTCTGAGTAGATGAACTTCTGACATGTTTGGATTGCAATCAAATCCTCTTAAACGTGGACCCACTTCAATACTTCAAGTTATAGCTTTTCTCGTTGAAACGTACGTAGTTTAATATAGTTTTATTAGGTTTCCAACCAAACACGCACTACATCATCATAAATTTTCTACTTCTAGTACCTAGGAGTATTCTATATTAATTTTGAGTATTTGAATTATATACCATGATAGAAGAAAATCCACGTAAAGGTGCTGGGTTAAGATATAGTCTACTGCACAAGATAAACCAATTTGAAAGTGTCATAGAAACTACCTTGCAGTACCAGGAAGTAAAAGATCAACTTCATTATCACCCATGGAGTTTGCCCTCAATGTATTCCCTCGAATATGAGGTCCAGGTGCAGTGTTGACAATGCTTGGTTCGTGGGCAACTAATAGCAAGCCTTTAGGAAGAATCAAGAGTTCCCCTTCTTTGAGTACATGTGGAAACAAAGCAAGTAGAAATAGTCTCAATATAGATGGTAGGAAATTTATTAAGAAAGCATGAAACTGAGGCCCAAATGTAGAAAGAAAAGAATGAAAATCAATTTATAGAGCTTCATGTAGTAAAAGAAACATGATTCCCTATACCTGAGCACTCAAGTGCAGAGACATCAAGACAATTACACAAAAAGGATGCTTAGCCAATTAAGAAGCACCTTGATAGTCATTAATTCATTGATAAGATTTGGGAACAAGGAGAAGCAGTTATTCGTTTTTTTCATTTTATAATTTCCATAATATGCTCCACAAATTATAAAAAGAATATAGCGATAACAAAAATGTTCAATTCCCATAAGGTCAATTTATACTGCTGGGGGTTATCATAAACCTTCTATTCACATGTGAGTCATGACTAGAAAAAGAAAAGGATGTTGAGTGCAACTGAATGCACTAAATCTAATAAATTACAACTGCATTGATGCAAAATGAAAGGTTCAAAGCCAGGATATTGAATACGACTGGAGTAATCAATAAATTGTTTGAAACCAATGTTCATTTCAAGAAGTCCTCTAAGTTAGGTTCATATAAGATCATTCCTAGACCTCCACCAATCTTAAACGTAAAAGAGAGTTGATCCTTGACATAAATAAACCCTCAATTGATGATCACTGTGTTCAAACAAGAGACGGATAGAATGAGGATTTCTACAAATACAAAGTGGACAAACAGTCAAGAAACACATTTCAGTTTCCTGTCTAAACAGGGTATTCAATTCATTATAAAAATCCACATCACATTTTAAATAACTTGCACCAGTGTAGCTATTACCATCTCCAGGAGGTAAATTCTCCTGATGATGCATTGATCCATGATGTTCCACCAAGGCCTTCAGATTCTCTGGAGCTCGAAAATGTAATCCAAACAGAAGGCTGTAATCAATTATATGCTGAGACTCCAAGAACTTGCAGTCTAGATAAATTTGCCTTCACCAGAAAATCAAATTTTGGTCATGATTAGAAGGTGAACTTACCAATAATTGAGTCAGATATTGAATGTAATAGTCGATTTGTCATGATACAATTTTTACTCACTAAAACCCAAGCTATTCTATAAACAACTCAGTACCAAGTACCAACAACATGACAAGATCCATGTTATTATTTGATTTTCAGTGACGTACCGGTTATTGATATCTATATAGAAGGTAGAATGAATTTAGTAATTATTTATTATGAAATGGAAATTACCATGCAATAGCTTCTCCAATGGCAAAGTAAATAAAAATTAACTGAAAAAATTGGGAAATTTTGATAATTGTTTTATGATAAATTCTATCACAATGTACGGATTACATCTAATGCATCACCTCTTAAATGATCGCAGAATACTTTACCAATCCCGGACAAACTTTCCTCTTCCATTAAATCTTTCCAACTTGAAAACTATGGAGTGATATATAAGATTATAAGACTTCTGAAGCACATGGAAATCAACCAGATAATTGCAAGTAGAGAGTACGGCCAATCAGAATCCTTGCAATAGAGTTCCATAACAGTATGGTTTCAGGGGACTAAAGAGACATCATATTCAAGATATTCGTGGAATCTAACTGACAAAAAATGAAGAAGATTGATAGATTCTGAATAGTAATAGGTCAATCTTAAACTTAAAGAATAATTTGGTTATCAATTTCCCAAAAGCACACATTAACCATGCAATGCTCTGAGCAATATATAGCTAACGTATACTACAAGAATGAGTGTAATATCCATGACATTTATCAACAAATATTCATCAATTGTAAAAAGTAAAGAATTGCTCATTTGTCACATTAGCATAAGTGGTTCTTAGGAGCAACTTACTTGAGTAGGGATTCTCGCAATTTTTTATCCATATGAAAGTCATATTTTAGATCAAGATCTTTCAATGTCGTATTGCAATTGATTTTATCATTTTGTGTGTATCTTCCTTGAGAAGATCCCTTCAGATCATAACGACGGTGGATATATAATTCTGTGCAAAACATGTTCCCCATGACCACAAAACGCACCTGGTAAACAAAAATAAGGACATGTTTATATTTATTCAGTTGGCAAAAGAAAAGAAAGAAACTAGAGATAGACAATATGTGATACCTTTTTTCCACCTCTTAGGGTTATTCGATGGAGCCCAAAGAATTTTGTTATGAGAGTATTCTCATGATCTCCTACATGACGGTAATATTTAGGAAGCATATTAAGCAGAACCTACAAGAAAAGAAACTTATGCATAACCATGTGCAATATCCTTCCTTATTAGAATTGATTATTATTTTTTAATAATTGCAAAATATAATCAAGGGAAGCTGACTGATACTAATAAATAACTTTACCTTCTTGCAAGACCAATTCATGTAAAAGGAAAGAGAGTGAAAACTTCTAACATGTAAAGTGAATAGTAACTAATCCATGTTTATCATCAACATAATAATGAAGTGTTCAAACGTAACAATTTTGAAGGGGAAAATTATTTACTTCTCCTTGTAATTTCTCTGTTCTTGTATTTAATATATATATTGATCAACACATCTTCAATAACCTTTTTTAACACTTTCCAAGGTACTTATTTTGTCCTTTTATTCATATTTCTCTATTAAGATCAGAAATTTCTGATCCTTTGACTGCTCATTTAAGTTGAAACTTGATATAAATGTTTGAAATGTTATAATTGGAAAAAGATAAAGTAGATCAAGTTATCCTATCCCCTTTATGCTTCAAAATATAATTTGATTCATTATCATAAAATCAGTTCACTATGGAGTATGAGAGATGGAAAAATAAGCATGTATTTATTATCCTTTTTGGCAATGATTTCATGAAACTGTCCTTTAAAATAACCATGAGAGAAGTAGCAGTTGCAAGTAATATTGGTGTCTATGGGATTATGCAGAAAGTATAAATGGAATCGTGTTTTATGATTACACACCTGACCTGACCAAATATGTTTGTCAGTCCTATCACAGAACTCTATAAAGTCAAACTCATACAGTGGCTTATGAATTCAATACAAAATTATTAAAAATATAAAAAAAAATTTGTCATCAACCAAGAAAAAATAAATATAATTGACTACAAACCTTTAGTTCGGATTTTTTCACTGTCTTTATAACAAATCTGTCATCTTTAGAAAGGTAAAAGATGCTGCCACTTTTTCCAGGAGAAGATAAGTCCCTTAGACCACTATCTCCACAAATAGACATCATGTACTCTGCGGCATCTAACTTGAACATCTCTCTCAAATTCCTACAAACATATGCTTGTATAATTATGCAAATAAGGAAGATAAAACCAAGAGGATATTAGGAAAGCTACATGTGCATTTGGAGGGGGCATGAATTGATTACGTGCATGAGACCTTTAACGACAATAATTGCTCATAACTGTTAATTATAAAATATTGGGTTGTTTATGCCAATTCTAACAATGCATAAATCAGAAAAGAGCCTGTGCATCTAAGCATAACCCTGACTAGGTATTCTTCTTTTGGGGGAATCATGTATGCCATTATAATCATAACTCATTATCAAGCATAATATTTACACTTTGACATCTTATATCATCATGGTTACATTTAGACTTTGTAATTCTTTAAGATTGGACTAGACTAAAGCTTTATCAGTTTGGTTTTGGTCATTCCCCACAGGGTTTACCATGTTATGCACTTTGGGCCACTTCATTAAGTAAAATTCACCAACCATTCATAATTGAAACCCAACAAAAACTTATAAGAATACATAATGCTTTAACCTAAAATAACTTTCAAAATCAATCAAATTGTAGTCATATGGAAATTATCCTAATGCATGGTGTTCAATCTCTTTATATAACTTGTAGGTTATAGAAACATGATGTACATAAAGTTAATAACTACCTGAAGACCATAGGGCAATAATCTTTCCAGTAGAAGTTTATTGAACAATGTGGAGGAGTAAACTTTGAACCATCCCTTGGGAAGTACATCCTTATCCTAGCTCGATCTCCAAAATCAGATGATCGAACTTCACGGGCAGGAACTGGTGTAATTTTGCCAACAGTATACCTGAGAATTGATCTAAATTAAATTCAACTCAAAACTCTATATGGTACACAATGCAAGCGTTAAACTACATGCTACCATTAAAGCTTATACCGTGCATGGAGTTGGTGCAAGAGCAAGACCAACACATACAACCAAGCCTTATTCCAATAGGTAGAGTCGGCTACATGAATTAATCGTTGCTCTTGTAAAATTAATGTGTTGGTTTGGTGTAATTTGAAATTTGCAACTTATGTCAGTCTTGCTTCTATGGACCACATTTGCATAAATACTTGACCATTAAAATTACAACAGCTTCATTCCCAAGCATTATAAACTAAATTTATACTTTCCTGGTGCTTTCACCTCACTGGAGATATCAACATATACACTGGAGAAATATTTCTATAAGATAAATATTGGTTTTTATAAAGAAGAGGATGCCAACATTCCCTCAGAAATTAAATTTTTACTGTCCTTCTTTCTGCTTTAAGGTTTTCAATGATGACTGAAATACCTATGAAGCCCTTTTGATACACAATCAGTTAGATGGATTTTCTTTGTAAACGCCTGTACTTCAACCCACTTGCATTCTCTAGCCATGCCTAGACATTACTCACAATGGTGAACAAGAAAAAAGGTAGAAGTATGCATATATAACCATTATTCTGTATATTTAATTTATGAACCAAACAGTATGTACGTATCAACATTGAACTATTCTCAACTAGGACCTCAATCCATCTAAATCATGAGTGAAGTCACTTTCTACAAACTCCCTGATTCCAAAATAATAAGGTACTTGAATTGAAAGAATGGTAATATCAACAACTTTTAATGTTAACATAACTATCAATCTTTCCAAAATAATTAAGGGTTTGCCGTCAACATTCAATCAACTATTTTACCTGATGCCAAGCTGCAAATTAAGCTTAAGAAAGTAGCTTTGCTGTCCTCCAAAAATGTCCACACATGAACTCTTCTTTACTTGGTTCACACTAAACTTATTTTGCTCTTTGCTTTTATGCAATGAGTCGGAGTACTCACTAATTTTCTCCATAATCAGAACTCCTTGTATGTATTCCCTTTCATAAACCAAAGTACTTTTACCTGATGCCTCAGATTGACCTTCATCAAAGCCATGGGATAATGTAAGGGAAGAATCATGACATATGCAATCTTGAGCAGGATCATGAGGGCTACAACTTGTATCCAATGACAAAGTCCTGTGCGATATTTGACGGAAACTTTTTAATCTACCAATCACTGATACATTTACAGAAAGGCTACGTTTAACTCTAGATTTTGGACCAACATGTTTTTCTGTATTCAATAAGAAACCATCATGATTACTGTTAGGAGGGCTATGCAACTTCTTTAGGGAAGGATGATTACTACATGAAGGATAGAATATTCCTTTTCCATCCTTTAGACCTTTGTTCCATGTCCCAATATAAAGACCCCCATCTCCAAATCTATAAACTCCTGAGCCATGCATAAGCCCATTTAACCAAAAACCATCAAAAGTATCACCATTAATCCACTTTATGACCCCTCGACCATCTATTTTCCCATTTTTCCAATTGCCAACATATACATTTCCATTATTCCATGTATACCTGCCACTGCCTTCCGGAACTCCTTCTTTCCATAAACCTTCATAAATATCGGAATTGGAGTACTTCTTGTGTCCTATCCCATGTGGAGCATTCATCCTCCATCCCCCTCTATAAATGGATCCAGAAGATGTTGTAAGTTTGCCATAACCATTTAGGAAGCCTCCAGAGAACTCACCTTCATACTGTGCTCCTGATGACCACACAATAAGTCCCTTTCCAGTCATTTTATCACCTTCCCAATCACCCTCATATACTGTTCCGTTTGACCATGTGTACTTTCCCTTGTCATGGGGTAACATGCCCTTGATCTTACCAGTGTAGGCATCACCATTTGAAAATGATTTCTCATCAAACCTACAATTTACAAAATACAGTAAAATCATAGTACAAGTATACACACACAAAAGATTATTATAGAACACAAGAAGTTGAATACAGTAGAGAAAGAGTTGCCATGAATATTACCTTTCGATATCCTCCATGATTTGCAGCCTTGCCCCAATGTAGATAAGTATTAGGATAACTACAACTCTACAAGAAGTATCTCTTTTTCATAAAAGGTTAAACAAGTTACTCAGTGCTGTGACCTATCCGATCTCCTCTTTCACCACCCTTACATTATTGTATCAAGTGATGAACTCTGAAACATACACAAACATCATAATGAGTCCTTTCTAGAGGAGAGACTTTCTACCATTGCTGACAGGAAGAGGAAGTTAGTAAAGTTGCCTAGTGATGTGCCTGTACAAGTTTACAGTACAGACTTGAAATCTGTCTGGTAAATTAAATAAGTATGAAGCATGAATTTGTTTCGATAGTAGAAAAGAACACAATTTCATATTCTAATTACAAAAGCTAACTACTTTTTTCAACAACCAGCATAGAAAGTCAATTTTAAGGTAATAGAGGGAAATCAAGAGAGAGAGAGAGAAATATTACAAAATCAGATTTTTTTACTCTCTCATACCTTCAGATTGGGATCCTCCGGAACTGCAGAGAACCTCAATCGCATCCCTTTGTATGATGTTTTCTTCTTTCTTATTTATGGAATATTTTTTCATATATACTTCATCTCAGGTGGAATGGCAGAGGTTGCTATGCTCATAATTTTACTAAATTTAAAATTTTAATAACCAGTGTTCAAGAAATTCTGGACTTCAAAATCAAAATCTCAACATCATGGTCTCTCACAAGTCACAACTACACTCTACAACAAAAAGGTTCACGGTGAACTGATTGCCTCAAAAGTAGGCAAGCTTATATTTATCAAGACACCTTCTTGATTACATCAGCTATCTTCTCTTTTTTTTTTTGTTTTTTTCGATGCAATGGTGGTAATAAGATTTGAACCTGTAAACTTGTACAAATTGCTTAAGGCCCTCACCACAATTACAACAACTTGCTTGATATTATAAATGAATGCTACAATTAAAATCCCACATTTCCAGCAGATCAACAACGTACAATAATGTAATCTATAAATTTTTTTTATCTTTGATGCATTACATCTGTAGATCCTTCTTTTTAAATTAGAACAAATATGAAGTGTTGTCACTGCATCAATGAGAGCCTTTAACCACGATGTTTTTCTGTATTTGTCACAGGAACAAAATTACCAACATAAAAGAGAAATACCTAAATTATTCTATTAATCAATTTCGTAAATCATAATTGACATGCATCCATACTTTCATATTATGAATCAATTTAAAAAAGATAAGATAAACCTTACAAACATGTTGGGTATATACTGAGAATACATATCTACTAATTACGTGTTACAATTGTACATGAATAACCAACCATAGGGTGTTAAACCGATAAGGAAGAAATTGATTATAATCAGAATCGGTCCAGAAATACAAAATCAGAAGTAAAAGATCAAGTTTTCTCATAAAAGAAGGGATGTGAAGAATTTAAATAACCCCACCTGTATATTCTACTGTCTGCACAATATAGTAAACCAATACTCAACCAAAAATACTAACTGAGTTGGTTTAACAATCCAGTAAAAGAACCAATTATTGATGTGAAGAATCCATTTATCTCATGCTTAACAATGATACACCACATAAAATTTTAAATAAGATTACAAGAATAACTGAACTAACCTTGAATGGATGGACTAGAAATGAGTATCCTCTACAAGTACAGAAGTACAATCTCAAATCCAGAAGAACCTCCGAAGAATCAAAATTTCAGGCAAATAAAAACTAAAGCCTTTGTAAAAATGTTTCTTCTACAAAAGCTCTTGGATCCTTGTTTGTCAATATGCTTTTATCCATTCTCAAGCTACCCCACAACCCAAAATTTCAATCAAAGCAAAGATTCAGTGATTCCTCAGATCACTTAGCTAGATTTATTTTCGAAGAGTTACTGGTTGTCAATATATTTAAATATACTTAATTAATAATCTTTCAAATATTTATCACAAAATTTGCACAAATATATATATATATATATATATATATATATATATATATAATATGGTAGCCATAAAAAATAGCATTAGCAACTCCATTGTATTTGTACCAACTAATCTTTGTCGTGAGTCAGTTACCTGAAATGGAGACACCTCAACCATCACTCTCTCTCTCTCTCTCGCACACAGTGTTGTGTAATGATGTTGTCTCTTTCCCATGTCTTATTGTTGTTTTCACCTTATATCAAATAATATATTAGTTGTCACTAAATCACTTTAAGTTTACTTAGTTTTTGATACATTTAAATAAGCAAATTAAATGCCATGCAATGCAGAGAGTATGGTTGTATAAGGTCGGTCGAGCACCAAAGTGGCATCTGATACGGGCCATCACGAAAAGGACAAAAGGGCAGTGCCACCATGGAACCTGATTCTGTGCATTCCAACATGCATCCTTACTTTATCGTATTCGTATTATATTAGGGAAGTGTTACATCTATCTAACACGTAATTCACACCCAACACCGTCACTTTGTATGGCCGTCTCAATCTTTAATTAGATCAATTTTTAAACTCCAATTTGATCCAAATTATGGTCTCATTAACATCCAGGCAGAAGATGATCGATCCAATTTCATATATTTTTAAATTTAGATATTTTGTATGAACTTATAAAATTTTAAAATAATAAATGAAAGTAAAAGGTGTTTTAAAATGATAAATTATTTTCATATAAAATATCATAAATTTGCTTTAAGAAATTTTATACTTCATTACTGATTTAAAATTATAAATTTTTAAATATTATATAAGATTGGGATGACCCAAAATTTATTTCCGTAAACTAAAAAAGGTGTGCCAAATTATTATGCCATGCCAAACATTATTTAAGGACAAAAAAAAATCTCTAATTAAATGATGACGTGTGAATGCTATTTTTAATAATATATAAAGAAATTAATCGCATATTGTTTTTAGGGAATAAAGAATTTTTTAAAAGGTAACACGTAACATAGAACTTACAATAAAATTACTTTATGTAATAATATTAAATTATATTATATTAGATTTAATAGAAAATACAAATATTCCAAGAGTCTTTTTTAGCATATGCATGTTGCATATTTGCTTTGCTAATTCGTGTATTGCATATTTTTGCCATTTGTATGAAATTACTACACTAAAAGAGCTATTAAAAAGGGGTGCTCAGAAAGTTATAGTCTTCTGGCTTATGGATTCTTTTGTTTTTTAATAACTAATTATTAAAATAAAATAAAATGCAAACTATTTTTCTGTTTGAAGTATTTTGTTCACGTCAACATGAGTTCAGAAAATTCCAGGTAGAATTTTTCATCTTGGCAACACTTATGAGAGCATGTTTCATCTCTTATAGCAATGAAATACAAATAATCTATGCGGCTGGCATAAAGATTAGTTTCATCTGCTGCAGGACAAAACTGCGGAATTTATACATATTGCATAATTTTACAAGTTTTGTCTACTGCAACGATGAAACTTGCGCAATTTATACACATGGCATGATCTTACAAATTATGTATCATATAGCCGAAACTCATTGTTTTCGCAACATGTGTATTATCTTCTGGTGAAAGTGATGTAGCTACATTCTACTATAAAAAAATATATAAATAGTGAGATTGATCTGCAGAGAATGAATTTACAAAAAATTGAGAGAAGAATGTATTTATCTTTAAGATTAATTTTATATGTTGTTAATTTTGTTGGTTTATTTTATTTGAATAAGTTTAATTGTTATATGCATGTAAAATAAATTGTATTTTTTTAATTAGCTAATGTAAAAGTTTTTGAAAAATAATATGTTAAGTAAATTTGTATATTAATTTTTAGATCAATTTTAATAAAGTGAAAAGATGAAAATATGAATTGAAATGTTATTATATTATTAGTTATTGTTAAATTAACTTATTTTTGAAATAATTTAGTAAAAGTTAATATAGTGTATTTGTATTGGCTAAATTATTGTATCGCTCTGGATTTTTGTAATATCGATTATTATTATTATATATATATATATATGAATGGATGTTAGAGTGTGCACTTGATTGCATAATGATGATGTCGGTGTGTATGAATGCATGTGAATGAGTATAATTGTAGTTGTATATGATTGGATTGGATTGATTGGGCTGAGAAAACAGGTGAAAGGTGTAATACTGGGACATTCTCGTTGTAACCAAGTACCAGAAATAATCATGATTCTATTTGGGTGATTGTGGACCGATTGACTAAGGTTGCACACTTTCTTTCGATTAATATGAAGTATAAGTTGGAGAGGCTTGTAGAATTGTATATAAGAGAGATAGTCATGATGCATGGAGTGCCGACCAGTGTGTTGTCTGATAGGGACCCCGAGATTTATCTCAAGGTTCTGGGAGAGCCTGCAGAGGGCTTTGAGCACTAAGTTAAAGCTTAGTTCGGCGTACCATCCACAAACCGATGGCCAGATAAAGAGAATCATCCAGTACCTGGAGGACTTATTGAGAGCTTGTGTGCTTGAGCAGCAGGAGACTTGGGAGGAATGTCTGTCATTCGTGGAGTTCACTTACAATAATAACTATCATGCTATTATTGGGATGACACCATTCGAGGCCTTATATGGGCGGAGGTGTAGGACTCCTCTGTGTTGGAATGACGATGGTGAGGCGACTCTGTGTCCACTAGATATGATCCAGAAATAGAATGAGCAGATCAAGATGATCAAGGAGAAGATAAAGGTTGCACAGGATAGACAAAAGAGTTACTATGATAAGAGAAGAAAGCCTTTGGAGTTCTAAGTGGGTGACCATGTGTTTTTGAAGGTCTCACCTATGACCGGAGTTGGGAGAGCTCTCAAATCTCAAAAATTATCTCCTAAGTTCATTGGGTCATTTGAAGTGCTGAGTAGAATTAGCCCTGCAGCATACCGGATAACGTTGCCTCCAAATCTCTCGAATCTACATTTGGTATTCTATGTGTCACAACTTAGGTAATATGTGTAGGATCCTTCGCATGTGATTGATCTTAACTCGGTTCAAGTAAGGGAAGACTTGACCTATGAAGTGTATCCAGTGAGGATAGTGGATCACCGTGTTAAACAGCTGAGGGGCAAGGAGATCTTGTTGATGAAGGTGATATGAAGCTCAAGTGATAAGGAAGATGCCACATAGGAAACAGAGAGTAGAATGAGAGGGTTATACCCAGAATTGTTTGTGTAACTCATATGTGTACTTGTTCGAATTTCGGGGACGAAATTTCCTAAAGGAGGAGAGAGTTGTAACACCCAAGATTTTTGTAATATCAATTATATATATATATATATTTATATATATATGTATATAAATATGAATGGATGTTAAAGGGTGCACTTGATTGTGTAATGATGATATCGATGTGTATGAATGCATGTAAATGAGTATAATTGTAGTTGTATATGATGATTGGATTGATTGGGCTGAGAAAACAGGTGAATGGTGTAATATTGGGGTATTCTCACGGTAGCGAGAGGATTCTCACTGTAGCGAGAAGGTCTGGGAGGAAGACATGAAACTGTCGCCTTCTTGTTGTAGCGAGAGGTCCCTCGATGTAGTGACAAAGCAACAGTTTGAGATGCATTTCTGGGTGCAATCTTGTTGTAGTGAGAGGGTCTCGCTGTAGCAAGATTCTGCAGAAACTAGAATGTAATTTCCTATGAGATTTTCGTTGTAGCGAGAGAGGGTGTTGCAGCAGCGAGACTGTAGCGAAAGTGTCGCGACCAGGAAGAGATTTAAAGGGGTTAAGGTTTTGAGAAGTTTCATTTCTCACTTTCCCTTCAAGATTTCTTTGATTCCCTCACTCCCAAACCTTATTTCATCAATTAAATTACCTCCAAAGTCATTCGTGAGCTAGATTGAAGGTTGGATTTGTGTTGAGAATGCTTAGAGGTGAGTTTTCATTGTTAGGATTTATGATTTCTCGTCCTCACTCACTGTTTTCTCAGTTCTCCTTGGGTTCTCATGGGATTCTTCCCTGTATTTAGAACAAAGTTTGTGTGGAGGAGCGTCTACCTTGTTGTTTTGGTGTGTGGGTCTTCACTTGAGGTAAGGGAGACTCTATCCTATCTCATTGTGTTTAAATTACCGTTTATTTCGATGAATGTTGTGATGTAACTGAAATAGAAAGTAGAAAATGTGTTATTTGATGGAAATTATTATGTGTTTGGAGTGAAATATGAATTGACTGTGGAGTTGACATACCGTTGATTGAGAATATGTGTGTGAGCATGTTGAGAAATAATGATTGAATGATGTAACTAGTTGGAAATGGATATAGATGACCTGTTGATATGTTGTGTGATGGAATAATGGCATATGTGTCGAGTATCGAGAGTGAATTATAGGCCTTTGTACCGTGTAATGTGAATAAATGTGGGCAAAGTATGTCGTGTATGATATGCTATGAATGATTCAGCGATATACTGGAAGTATGAAAGATGAGGATGATAGAAATTCCTTGGGAAAGAAAGAGTGGTGGTGACACCAACAGTGAGCGTGGGTGCACCGCAGGCCACACACTCTCCTCCTAACTAGACCTCTAAACACTACCTTTGTTGAGCGACTCGTGACTGCCCACACAATATCTGTGAAGCGGGGGTAATTGGCAACCATTCATGGTGTGAAACTGTGATCACAGTGCTACAGTGAACGTGACTAAGTGCGGTAAGCGCACGTATGTGAAATGTTGGTACAGTGAGTGCACCAGTTGTGTTTTGAATTTGAGTATATGATGAATGATAATTGTGACTGAAATTGAGATGTTTGTCTTGTGAATGCATGATTTAACTGTGTTAGTAAATATGTAGTATTTGATATGAGTCTTTATGTTTATGTGTGTTAGATTGTAGAGTACTCACCCTTACATTTATTTTTCAAGTGACCAAGATTATCAACACTGGACTCAGTGAAAGAATG